GGCGTTCTTTGCTATTTATTAAAATCATTTGAGGCTTGTTTACAACGGCATTTAAGCAATAAATAAATAAATAAATAAATAAAAAAGAGAAAGAATTATAGGACGCGCAAAATTAATGTATTTCAGAAACATAATTATGTACAATATCGAACTACAACAAAATGTGTGAAGCGATTTGTGGGACACATTGTAAAGACAATGTATGACCTTATATAATGTGGGTTTTTGTAGAGAAATTTGACTATAAAAAGTCAAAATATTTCCTGACGTTATGAAAAGATTTCTTACATCTAATAGTGTACGCAACCTTGTGACAATGAGTACATTTTCATGGTGACGTGTAATTCATATCGTTAAAAAGCTGAGAGACAGGGTGTTTCATAAATCCCTCCCATCAGTCTCTGTGTCTGCACCTGCATCCCTCCTATGGTTGCTAGGCAAAGGCTCGATAAACACATTTCCGCTGCAATGAATACACGTAACAATAGAGGAATTGTTTGACGCGTTATTTCATATGCGGTCCGTGTCTTATCAAAAGAGAATCTGTGCGCTTTTCTGTGCATCCCCCTATCGTTACTAGGTAAAACTAGGTAAAGTTGTTCCCACGGTACTGAAGAATTATTGGAGACGTCGTTTTCTATGCGGTCCGTGTGGTATCAAATGGAAGTAGGCGACTAGTTATTCCCTGAAAGATGTTGGACATGGATGTCGAGGAGACTGACGCCAGGAATTACTGTGCTGGCGAAGGCCAGCGGCAATCTAACCGATCGACCGACCTGAACGTCTTGTTCAGTCATCTGCTTGGAAGTCAGCTAAATCCACAGCCTATTCTAAGCGAGAGATCTAGAGATCTTGTGTGTAACATAGAAAGATTGAAGTGTTTCCTTTTAATGCGAGATTCTAAATATGTGATGCTGTACTGACTTGTGTGTGTGCATTTTTCTCTTGATTCTAGATCTAGATGTAGAAAAACAGAAGTGAAGGGAGAAGTTCATGGAGGTAGGCCTAGGCCCACTGGGGCTGTACTGCCAAGAAAAAAAATACTGACTAACTAATTAAGAAAGCAACCAACTAACTACCTAAATAACTAACTAACTAATCAACCAACCAACCAACCAACTAAATAACTCTTTCTTTCCTTTGGCGCTACAGCCCTCATTTGGGCCTAGGCCTACCTCCATGAAACTCTCCGTTCCACTTCGGTTTACTAGATCTTAGACATTTGGTAGGACTCCTTGGGCGGGTGATCAGCTCGTCGCAAGGCCTCTACCTGTACACAAACACAGAAAAACGGACACAAACATCCATGCCCTGAGTGGGATTCGAACCCACGATCCCGGCTTTCGAGCGAGCGAAGACAGTGCATGCCTTAGACCGCTCGGCTACCGTGACCGGCAACTAAATAACTCTACCGATCTGAATCCTCCTGGAGAAACTAACAGTTGCTTAACTGTTCAAGAAATTTGCAATATGGTATTAAACCTAAAGATTCATCACCTTATTCATAAGAGCCCCTCCCCATCAAGTCCGAGGCCATGTATAAGATTTCTTAACCTGATTTATTTGCCCCGAAGAGATATTACTCCCACGTCCAATCCCCAGGAGGATGCCTCTCTGCCGGCTCTTTACTCAGTATATCCGCAGCCACCCTTCATACCTTGATGCCGCCTAATGCATCTGCAACCTGAAGACGCGCCTTGTCGTGGTGCCAACGGACACAATTATTGCACACACAGAAACTCTTTCCCTTGTCATGAGTCTAATTATGCCGATATAATCAAGCGAAGCCACGTCGATCTGCAGCCTGATTCCAATGTAACAGGAGAAATTGGACGGACAGTGACAGCATCAGATGAGATCGTACTACTTTATACAGAAACAGAAACTGAACACATGCCTAATAACATTCCTGTGGACCGGTTTGCACCTCCTTAGCGTTTCCATTGCTGGAAGGCTGCTGGCAGCAATGCAGAGGCATTGTGTCCAACATGTTGTGACGTGAGGCTAAGCCAGAATTCTGGAGCTAGAAGAATCATTCATTTCTAGATTATGGCATGGTAAACATGCGATGGCGCTATTAAGTGAACACTCGTTGCTGTGGTAACCATCACGTGAACGCAGCAACAGTTACGCATGCAAAAATAGTGCAACTTCTGATGGCCATATTTTCAATGTGGTCCGTGCCGAGGCCATATTAGGAGAACCGATGCATTACCAGAAGGAAGAGCGGGCATTGCTTAAGAACCTATGAAACAGGAAATATAATTTCTTGCCTCCAAGAATTACTGTCTCTCTATACCTCTCCACTTTCTTTCCCTCCTCTCTCTCATTCTCTCAAATGAACACCACAGAACTTAGAGCTGGTAGCCCGCTCAAAATGATAGAACTTAATGTAAACGATATTTGGAGGCGGCGCTATGAGCTTTTTTATATTGCTAGTGGGGTGGAACTAAGTCTCTTGTACTGGGGCCACTTCTGGCCTATTGTATCAGCCACAGATGATAGGTGAGGGTGATTGTGGAGCAATTGGCGGAATGAAGATTGGCAGGGGAAACCGAAGTACTCGGAGAAAATCTGCCCCAGCGCCACTTTGTCCACCACAAATTCTACTTGACAAGACCCGGAATCGAACCCGGGCCGCCGCTGTGGGAAGCCAGCGACTAACCGCTTGAGCTATGGCGCGGAGCTTATTATTGCTGTAAGTCTGGTTTGATCACAAATTGGGAATAGCCTTTATTGCTGAAATAAAACGAGAAATCTTGAGATCGAAAACTCTGGCGGAAATGTCGACAGCTCTTTCCGTCACGTCCGGCCGACATATATTGTAAGAGTTCTCTTCACGGTTCCGTTGCGTATAAAACTCCAAGTAGAAGGGCCTAAACTGAACTTACATAAAATGGCTGAGTCTCTGAGTTGAATACGAGGTGTTCTAGACATGTGATCTTCATCACTGCTAAATTCTCCTTCCAACTGTCATTTTCTCAATTTGTGTTTCTGCAATGGGACCGACTCCCTTTAAAAAAAATACACAGGTAAAACCACTTTCAGGCCATGTAGGGAACTACCTTCTGGTATGTGACATCGTGTAGTCATGTAGAGTTTCATCTACGTTCCAGAAGAACGTAAAACATACTGTATCCATCTTCGGGTCAAAGATTAAAGCAAGCAGAAAACTGAACCAGACGGCTTATATATCATCTGTTGCTTAATAATCAACCCTGAAGATGGAGGCAACTCTTCCTCCGAATAATAGATCAACGTTTGCCAGACTATAAGGCAACACAGTCCAGAAGATAGTACTGTTCATAGACACGCTGTGAGACCCTCAAAGCCAAAAGTATTCCAGTCAGGAAAACAGAGAATTCATGAAATCGAAACAGATCACCAAGTCAGGACTACCTGGTGCACCCGGAAGAACACTTGCTTTGATGGAAGGCATCTACACTGTACAGTTATTGTGAAGCTATACGTATTCAGAGATGAAACATGTGAATATATGATCTCAGTGTCCACAAGGCCTTGAAGCTGGAACCTCGCTGTTATATCCTGCTGTGGGTATAAACATACATCCACGTGTATGCGTGTTTGTGATTTCCTGTATAAGTAGAAGGCTTGAGATTAGCCGACGTTCCATCAGAGAAAGTCTCTGTAATATCCGCTATACCGACGTTTTCAGAACTAGTTTTAAAACATAACGTGCCAGAGTACATACTTTTGATAAGAGAAGACAAAGAAGGGGAGTGGAAAGTATGATTATTCCACAATTAAACCAGGACACCTCAGTGCTGCAGGAATTGCGAAAAGGGCTTTGGAGTAACTACCGAAGAGACGCTTCACCATTAATTCATATTTTCTCAAGTTCACAGTCCCCCTTACACTCCAAGGTCGCCGAGATCTCAAGGTAAAGGTGAAAGAAAGTAAAACTATCACTGTAACAGGCCGTGGAGGCCCATACGGTTGTGAGACGTCGAGGATCCCAAATTTCCCAGACAATCGGTCCACAGAGATGGCGGTGAGGTTGGCAGCTTTAAGCACAGGCGGCCCATTAGTTCCAGGGAGATTCCTGGTACTCATTTGTGTTAGAAGATAAGTCAACCACAGGGTCATAGTGCGGCTGGAAGGATTAGATCAATGACTTCATCGGGAACCGAACCCCCGACCTTCCGGCTTTAGTGCCTTAACCAACTATGCTACCTCGTGCCCCCCCCCCCCTTCGAAATATCAAGTGCCATTTAAATTACAATTGTGCCCACCCGTAGTTCCGACAAGTCAGTAAGATTTAGTACGTGTATTTTGGATAAAGTAGGTGTGGCCGCAGCCAATTTTAGAGAATATGTACGTAAGTATACAGGAACATTATGTAGCTGACTATAGACGTAAACAGGTTGTAAAGCTATTTAAATTCTTGCCTCAACAGGATAGCCTGACAGGGAAATACAACGATGTGCATAGCTTTAACTTCACGTGACTGTACATGAACGTTTTACATCTTATTATATGTGTAGAGAGTCTGCAAAGTTACTTAGATTCCTGCTGTCACCGTACAGCCTGACAGAGACCTTAACGGTGTGCAGAAGTGCACTTTTCGATGACTGTACTATTTTAGGTGGTTGCGGTATGACAAAGTTTAAGAACCTCTGCTGTAGTTAATGCTAATCCATTTTAATAACAACGAAGTATCTTATTGGATAATAACTTCTCGCTTAAATGCTGAACACTTGCAATCGTTGAGTTCGCTTCGGTAAATTAAATACAATGGCACGAAATTTGCAATAAGGGACAATTTGGTATAGACAAGTCTCGATAGAACAGGGTCTGAATATGTAGATTTCTTGTAGGTGAAAGTTTCCGGGGAGGGGAGGGTGGCTGATCGGAAGAGAAGGGGAGAGGGAAGCGAGAGTGAGGCAGGCAGAGATGTCGGTCAGTTGGCCACTAAGCGAGAGGGTAATCGAAAGTGCTTGTCAGTGTTGTGTTTGTGCGCCGGTGGTTCCGCGGCGTGAGATACCATGCTGCTCGTCAGGTAAGCGCCAACAAGAGGCACAGAGCGTCTGTCATACGCTGTTATTCTGACGTACATGTGGGGGCAAGGCGCTCAGATTTACAAGGGGTCACACATAGATTTCTTTTTTACAATCTTACACATAAGCCGTTTAATACGGTATTATCTTCTTCTGATCGCACTGGTTCGATTCCCGTCAGAAGAGATTTTTCTCTCCTTCACAGAGTCAAGACCAGATCTGTGGACCACTCAGCCTTCTATCCAGTGGTACCAGGATCTATTTCCTTGGGGGTAAAGTGGCAGGAGCGTGACACTGACCACTCACTCCAATCTAATGCTGAGGTCAAGAATAGTGGAGGCATACCTCCACTACCCAATATGCCTTCAACGCATTTTAATTAAATAAATAATTATAGCGATAACTTTATCTTTTTAACTACACTTGGTCGTCGACTTACGACCGACTTCCGTTCTGACTGACAGGTCATAAGTCGATCTGGTCGTATGTCGGCCATATACTTATTAACAGTATTTTTTAACCTTTCTAATCTTTTTATCATCTTTATAATCTATTTTTAAAAACTTTTACATTTTAATCATCTTCCATTTTTAATCTTTTTGTGTGGTCGTAAGTCGACGAACAAGTGTATAATATTTGGGATAGAAGAATATATTTATGCGATTTATACGTGGATGCTGCAAGAGTTCGTTCCTTTTCTTCTTCAATATTAATATATTTTCCAAGCCTCTATGATACTGGGTTGGCTCTTGCACCCCTATTCCCGAAGTCAGTGCACATGAATTTATGCAGTTCGTTCAAATGAACTGACTCAATCTCAAACCTCTGACGCCTGAATGAAAGTGAGAAATAAATTAGGGTGGACACAGCAGGGTAAAGGCTCCCTGCGTCATTTCCATGCATGGTTGTTACCCAGGAGCTGAGAAGTGCTCATTAGCCTTGGTATTCGGGAGAGGGGGGAGAGGAAATTTCTTAATTTACGTTACTCTGTGTAATTTCTATGAATCAATTTCGCAAACAACAGCGAAATTTCGATTTCATGATTAACTGTGAGTTTTGGAACTTGGAAAAGTTAAAGCCAAGTTCATGTAACAAAACTGAGAAATCCAGTTCCTACCTTGTAGAAAACACACCGTGTCTTTGTTATAACAACCATCTTTTTATTTCAAACTCTCGTGGCAGCGATAATGATCGCTATTGTCTTCTGGGATAAGACATGATAAGCGTTTCGGAAGATTCTGCTGCCTCCATCTTCGGGACCTAAGAAAATGTAGGTGTCAGATTCCTCAGAAATTTTGTTAATATCAGGCTAAACGGCGTCACATGCCAGTAATCTTTAGCCTGTTAATTCTGTTTAAGGAAATAATCGCTGTTCAGTGTGAGAATAATATTGAGCACATGAACAAACTCTATGAGCAAAGTGTAGAATTCCTTAATGGTAAAATAGCTGGTAAATATTGTGACTACTGTTCACTGTTTTCTGTGATGTGGGTAATGGATTCTTTAAATATGGCTGATATGAAAGTCAGGCTTTATAGGGTTAAAATTAAAGTGTAGAAATGTTCAATGAATTAAACACTACGCTATTGAGGCGTATATGGAGTATAAACCTATTCTTAGCTTCACCAGTAGTTCGAGGTGAGTGGTCAGCTTTATGCCCCGGTCGCTTTACTCCCGGAAAAAAAAATCCCTCTGTACAATTGGGTAGGAAGCTGGATGGGATCCAGAACAAGTCTCGACGACAGGGAGAAGAGAAAATCTCGCCCTCTACCGGGACCCGAATACCAATCCCTCGACCGTTCAGTCAATATTTAGTATAAAATGTTTGTGGAAGAGGTGGACAGCCCCTAAGCTACATTATATCAGCCAAGTAACAACAAATTTTAAAGGGAACTATGATTTGCCCTTTCTACTATATCATTTAATTTATAGGTTCATTCACAAAAATTCGCGAAAAACACATATTAATATCGTCATGTTTGTCCGTCTGCCCGTCATTCTGTCTATCCCCGTGAAACTCGGCTTCCCCTCGATTTCATTCGATTTGGCGGGTAAATTGTTGCTGGTCCTCGCCAGTACAGTCATTCTTGGTTCCAACTCCCGCTAAGCTCATGACCATATTTTATTGTCTCACGGCTCTGGGAATTGTGCAACCCCTGTGGATGGAATTCTGTGAAAATGTATGTTGGGGGGGGGTTACTAAAATCGCTAGATATAATTCAGTTGTCATTATAACTAGGCAGAGATAACGGACACCTTACACGAAAAGCTAACCCTTTTTAGAGTCTTTCTCTCTCCCTCACTCCCTCTCTCTCTCTTACTCCACTAATGAGAGCATACTGGGGTTGCAATGGGAGCGAAGCAATGACCATCACATTCAATAATTTTAAAGCAATTCACAATCTAAACAAATGAAGGTACAACAATCTCATAATCTGAACTTACGACTGTCTGATATCTCACCCGAAAGTGAAAGAGCTTTCGTTTTTAAGTACAGTTCGTCGTTTATTTACTTTACTTCAATTTCCTAAAGTGAAATATTTTTGCATTTAAAGTTATTTATATTAGGAGCCGGGATAGCGCAGTCGGTATAGCGACTGGCTACTGGCTGGACGTCCGAGGTATCGGAGTTCGAGTCCCTGTAGGGTCAAGAATCTCTCCTTCACGTCGTCCAAACCGGCTCTGGGATCCTTCCAACCTCTTATCCAAAGGGTACCGGGGGCTCTTTAGCCGGGGGTAAAGCGGCCGTTGCGTGAAGCTGACTACTCGCCTCCAGCAAGTG